GCATCATACACACTTCTACTGATCAACAACCTTACGTGCTATTACTGCATCATGCACACTTCTACTGATCAACAACCTTACGTGCTATTACTGCATCATACACACTTCTACTGATCAACAACTGTACATGCTATTACTGCATCATACACTTCTACTGATCAACAACTGTACATGCTATTACTGTATAATACACACTTCTACTGATCAACAAATGTACGTGCTATTACTGTATAATACACACTTCTACTGATCAACAAATGTACATGCTATTACTGTATAATACACACTTCTACTGATCAACAAATGTACATGCTATTACTGCATCATACACACTTCTACTGATCAACAAATGTACATGCTATTACTGTATCATACACACTTCTACTGATCGACAAATGTACGTGCTATTACTGTATCATACACACTTCTACTGATCAACAACTGTACATGCTATTACTGTATCATACACACTTCTACTGATCAACAACTGTATGTGCCTGGACATTGTGTATTCTTCCATTGTATGTGAATTATTTGTGTTACACATCCTGTCTCATTGGACTGGGCTGTCATTTATGTCTTTCTTCTACTATCCACAAATCATGTCAGAACTACGAAACCTCTTACCCAACATAGTTTTTAACAACGTATGAGGATTACACAAGGGTAACCTATGTATTAAGAATACCCACCCAAAAGACTATGCCAAATCATTGCAACCATGGCCTTATTCAACCTCTCAAAATGCAACACTATATGAGTACAAACTACAAATTCAAGGATTTAACCTACATTGAAAGAGTTGAATGATTTAAAACAGGACAACTCGTCCCCACCTGCTAATGTCAAACTAATACAAAACAAAAATTACTTTATCATCAAATATAACTTCTCTCCCTGATTTATTCATCACAAACTAGAACCAGCAAATTCCTTTCCAAACCTATAACTCACTGATTCTTATAACTGTTTAGCAACACAATGGAGATGCATTCTGCATAGCTAAATGGGTCCGATATTGTGGGAACACAAATGTAAACACTTGTTCTGACCAAACTGAAAATACATTATGCTCTAACTGTAGTGAACCTCACTGGTCTTCCACAACTTTTCTGTCTATGGTAACATAGAACGAGGCCAAAATCTTATTTCCATTTTAATATATGTATGTAAACTTCACTATTCTCCACCCAATTTCCTTTCTGTGAGTCTTATTTCATGAAAAAAGTGGGAAAATCTCAGAAACACCTGGTCACAAAAATTATAAACTTTCGTCTATCAAATAACCACCAGAAATTAACTTTAAACCTGTACATCCTTCTGATAAAAACTACATTTCTACATGTACCTTTAATCTCTACATTTTGTTCCCCTGCCCCTATCCACCTCAGCTCAATATAAGTTTCCATTCTTTGTGTATAATCCAGTATTGTCTTATCCTAAGACCTTCCATTCGTATAGTGGAACAAAGAGATGAAGAAGTGGACAACACAAACTTTAGGAAAATATGTCGTAGGGGATCATTTAGTTGTTGTAAATGGAAATGTTTTTACATAATACACAAATGTTTCTCAGTTTAAAGTGATAGGTAATAACAAGAGGATTTCTGTTCGATTCGTTAGTGTTACACCATTAAGGCAGGGTCTTTCATTAAGTGTTGTTAACTTTTTCAGTTTGACTCAATTTTGGTATCTTTATGACCTCTTTAACAAAGGTGATATTCTGTTTAATGTGGATGTAATGAAGGTATTGTGGTCTATAAGTAGATTTCCTGTATAAGTCAGTGTGTAAAAGGCAGTCATATAAAGAGACAGTGACGTCAAAAATGTTAATTTGGGTAGGGAAATGATCAAGAATAAACTTGAATATTTTGTGAAAAGTATTAGTTTAAGAAATAGGCTAAGTGATTCATATATTCCATCAGAGGGCAGTATACTACAATTCTACCTTTAGTGAGACCACATTCTCACAGTGTAGTTACTTTTAACCTTAACCTATTGATTTGGCTTCCACTTCAGAGACCACAGCCTGACTTAACAATGATTAATAAATTTATCCTTGAGGTAGCACCTAAGGTTTACCATGTCAACTGAATAACAAATCCAAGAAAATTTGATCAATCAAAACTCAACAGTAATTTGTAACTTCTTTGTGCAGTTAAAAAACAAGCTTGATCTGGTTTAACCTTTGCTTGCTTTATTTTCTTAACACTGTTCTAAAACATTTCCTCTAAGTTGCAATGGAAACAAATTTTTGTATTTATAAATGCCAAAAGTTTTTGGTGCAAATTTTAAGAAGTTAGGCAAAGTCACTTCTGAAAAAATCTTTGAAAAGGACAAATGAAAAATTGGTTGATTGGAAACCAAAGAACTAAATTGTTAAAAAACATAGTTTGTGTATCTAAAATGTGAAAGACACAATGGGTGGGTAACCAGCAAGCAAATCCATTATAGATATAGAAGATATGATGGAAGTCAAGCAAATTGTTTTCTTGCAGCAACAGGGCATAAATCCTTTTGATCATCCATCCATTATTAGGATTTCATGCTCAAATTAATCATGGATCCAGTTGTAAAAATATTTTTGGGCATTTCTGTTTCTTGTTTTAAAGGAGTTCAGAAAGTTTTTAATGTAAATGCAGTTTTTATTTGAGTGAAAATATAATTTTTGGTTTTTGCATCTCAAATTAATATCCTTTTTAAGGATAAGTTACAACAATTTTGACTTGTCATGTAAAGGTAAGTAATATTTGTTCTACAAAGTCTGTAAATTGGTTTCAAGTTTTTGTTTTTATGCCAAAAAATAAGATGAAGGCTATATGGAACTGCACCAACCATTAGTGAACCCACAGATTGCTCTACAACATGATGGTGATGTGTGTGAAAAGATGGTTTGGGTGCTCAACATTCTTCTGAGAAGTTTCTTAGTAGCTGTTTGGGAAGATATGTGGAAAAACCAAATCACTTTGTAGCCTTTTTTGTTTTTTAACAATCAAGACAGGTGGTTGTGTGTCAAGCGGCCAAAACAACCTGCAGAACACACTGTGT